CGGACCCCCCCCCAAAAAAAAAAAAAAAGGATCTGAGGCTAGATACCAGTGGCTTACGCCTATAATTCTAGCAACTCAGAAGGCTGAGATCTGAGGATAGTGGTTTGAAGCTAGCCCAGGCAGGAAAGTCCATGATCCTCTCATCTCCAGTTAATCACCAAAAAAAAAAAAAAGCTGTGGTTTAAATGGTAGAATGCTAGTCTTGAGCACAGAAACTCCTTGAGTAAAATCCCTAGTACTGGTGTGCACATGTATGTGCACCCATGCACATAAAAGTAAGTGAATGCCCCCCCCAAAAAAGTAACTGAACACTTCCCCAATTTTGTTTTTCCAAGAATTCAGGTATTGAAAAAGCCTTTCTCTTTGATGTTGTCAGCAAAATCTACATCGCAACCGACAGTTCTCCTGTGGATATGCAGTCTTATGAGCTTTGCTGTGATATGATTGATGTTGTAATTGATGTGTCTTGTATATACGGGTAAGTTCTATACATATTTCTGTAAGATCTCAGACAAGTAGCAAAACACTAGTATTATTTGTTCAGAGGACTAATTTCAGAGCCCCCTGGTAAGTACCGAATAAAGACTACCATTTTGACCACAGTGATTCAACTTGGAGCATGATTTCTCTGTAAACATTGCTGGTTCTTAATTTCAGAGAGGATGGCAAAGAGCACTTGAGAAGTGAATGGTGTTGGATTTATTTATCACTAAAAAATTTTCTTGCCTCAATTTGTAGAGTTTGTATTGTTATCTTTTTTTTTTTTTTTGGTCCGGTCGTGGGGCCTGAACTCTGGGCCTGGGCGCTGTCCCTGAGCTCTTCAGCTCAAGGCTAGCGCTCTACCACTTGAGCCACAGCACCACTTCTGGCTTTTTTCTTTTTTCTTATGTGGTGCTGAGGAATCGAACCCAGGGCCTCAGGCATGCAAAGCAAGCGCTCTACCACTGGGCCAACTTCCCAGCCCCTGTTATCTTCTCTTAATGTGATTTAGGTAGATTGAAAAGCTAATTTATTTTAAGTGGTATGAATAAGAAAATAAGTGCTGGTTCCTCATTTAACCTCAGGCTTTGTAGAACAGGGATTCTAAATCTGTTTCAGAGTACAAAGAAACAAGGTAATCAGAATTTTATTTGTTAAAAGGACTTAGGCAGGACATTTAACTCATACATCTGACTTTCCAGAATAAAATCTCTAAAATGTGAGGTCTCCTGTACTCTGTATAGAAATTTAGAAAAGAGAGCAAATAAGTGATTTTGTAGAAAATAAAACTTTTGGGCTGGGTACCAGTGGTTCATGTCTGTAGTCCTAGCTATTCAGGAGACTGAGATCTGAGGATCTTGGTTCAAAACTAGCCTGGGCAGAAAGTCTATGAGACTCGTATCTCCAGTTAACCATCTGAAACTGGAGGTGGCACTGTGGCTCAAATGGTAGAGTGCTAGCCTTGAGCAAAAAAGGAGCTCAGGGATAGTGCCCAGGCTCAGAGTTCAAACCTCCAGACTGGCAAAAAAACCCAAACAAACCCAAAACCCCCAAACCCAAAACAAAACATAAAACAGCTTTTGACTTGGCACTGTTGACTCACAACTGTAAGCCAATAAACTATGCCCTTGCCCGCAAAAAAAGCTGAATTGGAGTTGTGGCTAAGTGGTAGAGCACTAGTCTAGAGCTAACAGCAACAGGACAGTACCCAGACCCTGAGTCCAAGCCCTAGGACTGGTACAAAAAGTAAAAACCATAAAACAAAACAACTTTGGAAGAATTTACTGATAACATTTTTTGTACCTCTGATAATCCATATTCATCTAGTTAATGTCAGAACTCCCAATGTGTTTTTTAGCCTCTCTTACTTTCTAATACCTGTGTCCTCTGTTCTGCTTCACCTCTGATCCTACCTGTTAGCTTGATCTCCATACTTAGCTTTTCCTGGCTGCCTCTGAAAAGGAGAATGCATTTGTTTTACCATTTCTGGACCTGTCTCATTTCAGTTTATTCCTTTTTCACTTTTATGATCACATGTTCTCCTTTTATTTTTTTCCATAATGAAAATGAGACAAGACTGTTATATTACTCAGGAAAGTTTCATGTTCCCCATTTCTAAAAATATATGAGTAGAACATTTGCTTTTTCTTTAAAACAAATCAAGATTTCATAAACAACCTTTTTCATAATTTAAAAATCAAATTTGGCCGGGTGCCGGTGGCTCATGCTTGTAATCCTAGCTACTCAGGAGGCTGAGATCTGAGGATCACCGTTCAAAGCCAGCCCGGGCAGGAAAGTCTGTGAGACTCTTACATCAAATAAACCACTAGAAAACTGGAAGTGGTACTATGGCTCAAGTGGTGGAGCACTTGCCTTGAGCTGAAGAGCACTGGGACAGTGCCCAAGCCCAGAGTTCAAGCCTCATAACTGACCAAAAAAAAAAATCAAATTATAAAATTATTTTTACTATAAGATTGATGATAAATTGCATATACTGTAGAGTTTTTTTTTGGATCCGGCCGTGGGCCTGAACTCTGGGCCTGGGCACTGCCCCTCAGCTCTTCAGCTCAAGGTTAGTGCTCTACCACTTGAGCCACAGCGCCACTTCCGGCTTTTTTCTTTTTTCTTATGTGGTGCTGAGGAATTGAACCCAGGGCCTCATGCATGCAAGGCAAGCACTCTACCACTGAGCCACCTTCCCAGCCCATACTGTAGAGTTTTTAAAATGAGACCATTATTTCACTATTCCCAACATTATATATGCAGTTTGATAATGTTTTTGTAATTTACTTTTTACTTGACTATTGTTTTATGTTTTTTTGGAAGAGACTGTACATAATTTATTGTAGTTTTTAGCTTCTAAAATTCACTTTGTATTAAGATTCTATAATATATTTAGTAGACTATATTCTAGCTTTTATATTCATATTTTTTACTTGTAGCAATCTTAATATTTAAGATCTTTCATTTGTAGACTTGTCAGTACAGATTAATCTGAGGGAAGATTTGAAGCCAGCTATAGTCCATGTAAACAAGATAGTGTGAGTGAACACTGCATTCTTAGAGAGGAAGTGTCTGTTGTTGACATTGATGAGCTTTTTATCCTTGCTGTCTTGCTAGAAGCTCTTCAGTTTATTCAGTACTAAGTTCTTTCTCCTTTCATTTGCAGTCCAGAGTAGGCTGCTTCAAAGTCTGCTCCTTTTGACCAAACCTTTTCTACTTCTGCCTGGACATATTTTCAAATAAAATTCAGATAAATATACTTGCTTAAAAGCCTTAAAAATGACCAAAACAGCCAGGTGCCAGTGGCTCATGCCTGAAATTTAGCTACTCAGGAAACTGAAATCTGAGGATCAAGGTTCAGAGCCAATCCTGGCAAGAAGGTCTGTGAGACTCTTTAACTCCATTAACTGCCAGAAAAAGTCATAGTGGAGCTCTGGTCCAAGTGGTAGAGCACTATCCTTGAGCAGAGATACTCAGGGACAGCGCTCAGGTCCCCAGTTAAAGCCGTAGGACAGGCACAAGAAAACAAAATACTGAAACAGCTGGGTGCAGGTGGCTCTTGCATGTAATCCTACTCAGGAAGCTGATATATGAAGATTATGGTTCAAAGCCATCCTGGGCAGGAAAGTCTGTGAGAATGTTATCTCCAACTCTTAACTGCCAGAAAACTCTGGAAGTAGATCTTGGCTCTTGTGGTAGAATGCTAGCCTTGTATGAAAAAAAAAAAAAAACCTCAAGAGATTGTGCCCAGGCCCTGAATTCAAGCCCCAGGACCAGCACAAAAAAATAGAAACAAAAGACCCTCCCAAAATATTTTGGAACAATAGAGCAAGCCTTAAAAAAAAAGTAACTAGCATATTTAAAATTTTAACTTCATTAATCACTAAAATAAAATTAATCTTCAGACTTTGAATAGAATATTCTTTTAAAAAACTGTGTGTGTCGGAAGTGGCGCTGTAGCTCAAGTGGTAGAGTGCTCGCCTTGAGCTGAAGAGCTGAAGGACAGCGCCCAGGCCCAGAGTTCAAGCCCCACGACCGACCAAAAAAAAAAAAAAAAAAGAACTCAGCCTCCTGAGTAGCTAGGATTATGCCGGGCGCTGGTGGCTCACGCCTGTAATCCTAGCTACTCAGGAGGCTGAGATCTGAGGATCGCGGTTCAAAGCCAGCCCGGGCAGGAGAGACCGTGAGACTCCTATCTCCAATAAACCACCAGAAAACCGGAAGTGGCGCTGTAGCTCAAGTGGTAGAGCACTCGCCTTGAGCTGAAGAGCTGAGGGAGAGCGCCCAGGCCCAGAGTTCAAGCCCCACGACCGACAAAACAAACAAACAAACAAAAAACTGTGTGTGTCTGTGTCTGCATGTGCTTGCCCAGTATGCTTGGAGTCAAGTCAGACCCATGGTAGGCAAGTAAGTGTGATTCAGGATCATGTGCTGGCTCAGTATTAGAAGCATTGCAGCTTCTTGCAGCTGCTTCCTCTGGATAGATGTAGCTAGCTTAGGGACTTTTTGCCAGGCATGTTTGTTGTTGGCCTGTTTCAGAGTTAGTACCTGTTCACATTTTCCACGTGGCACAGAAGAGGATCTACTTGACATCTAACTCTTAAGCTAAGAACATGTAACACAACTTCCTCTTCTCTAGTCAGGAGGAAGTAGTTTTCTTTCATATTGTTAAAACAGATGAAACTTAACTTTCCTTCCTTACTTTGCCTGGCCAAGTCAGCTTTATAAAAGGTATTAGAAACTGTGGGATTGAGTTAAATAAATTTGAGTTCTGACTTTGCCCAGGTCATTTTACCTTTAATGAGCTTCTATTATTGCAGGTTTAAAATGAGCACAGTCCTCTTATTGTCTTAATTTAGTTTACTTTGAATTTTTCCAGAAAGGAAACAGGGTAAATAGGACTGTAGCAGTAATTCTGTTCTCTAGTTTATTGTAAATAACAATAAGTTAACTTATGAAAAGTAAACTGGAGGGCTGGGAAGGTGGCTTAGTGGTAGAGTGCTTAGCCTGCATGCCTGAGGCCCTGGGTTCGATTCCTCATCACCACATAAGCAAAAAGAAAAAAAAAGCTGAAAGTGGTACTGTGGCTCAAGTGGTAGAGTGCTAGCCTTGAGTTGAAGAGCTGAGGGACAGCGCCCAGGCCCAGAGTTCAGACCCATGACTGGACCCCCAAAAAAAAAGAAAAGTAAACTGGATAGATAGCGTGCTTATTAGCAAATCTAACGTCCTGAGTTCAAATCTCAGTATTGCCTTCCTCCCCACCCAAAAAAAAAATAAGTAAACTTAAGTTTCAGTATAGTTTTAAGTCAACCCCTTTTCAGTAAAATTCAGCTTATGAAAAATAGAGACAAGTAAAAACAAAAAGAACAGGCATTGTTCTACTACCAAAGACAACTGCTGGTAACATTTCTTTTTAGTATATTTCCTTTTTTGTAAAAAACAACCCTCTCTTTCCCCTTTCCCCTTTTATGCAGTGTCTTGCTATGTATCTTAGACCTGGCTTTGAACTCTCCATCATGCTACCTCAGCCTCCTTTATCCTGGAATTATAGGTGTATATTGCTAACCTCCTCCCTGAACACATAAACTTTTTTTAAAAATGTGGTGGCAAATACATCTTTTAAAAAGGCAATTTTGATAACTCTTTCTTTTGGAAACTAGATAACCAATAGACTTTTGCTGAGCAGATACAGAAGAAAGGACTCTGAGAATCTACTTAAAAGTTGTTGGGCCAGGTGCTGATGGCTCACACCTGTAATCCTAGCTACTCAAGAGGCGAAAATCTGAGGATTGTGATTTGAAGCCAGCCTCTGCAGAATAACCCCCATGAGATTCTTATCTCCAGTTAACCATTCAAAAACCAGAAGTGGATCTGTAGCTCAAGTGGTAGAGCACTATCCTTGAGCACAAAGAGGCTCTGAGTTAAAGCCCCACAACTGACCAAAACAAAGTGGTTGGTTTCAGTGTAATTCCTGTAGGTCTCTACATAGGAGTGTTCTTGTATAATCTAAGAATTTTCTTGTTTGTGTGAGGAAGAAAATTCTGAGAAAAGACATGATTGGCTTGGCATGTAAAGCATGTTTTGAAGTAGCTTGTTAAGATGGTGGTAGGTCCCATGGGGGCTCTGTTGTTTGAGGGAAGAGAGAAGGTAGCTCAGCTGAGCCTGCACACCATGATCTGAGCAGGTACTAGTAGCCCCATCTGGCATGGTGTTGGAAATGTTGTCCTTCTTTGGTCAAGATCTACATGTATTTTTACTGTTTCTCCAAATGTTTCATTTTAGTAAGTAATGGATATGTATAGAGCTTTCTGTTTAGAACAAAAATTATTGATTCTTAAGATTCTGCTTGGGAATCCTATATTGAAATGGCAAATCTGTTGTGATATATACATATAGATAAGCCAGTACCATTTTTTCTCATAGACATTTGGGAATCTGGGTGGACAAACTTGTAACTGCAAATTAAATGTGACAAAATAACAAGTTGGGCAATGTTAATGAGTGGCACTTTCTTTTTAAAATAGGCTAAAGGAAGATGGAAGTGGAAGTGCTTATGACAAGGAATCCATGGCAATTATCAAGCTGAATAATACAACTGTCCTTTATTTAAAGGAAGTGACTAAATTTTTGGCACTGGTCTGCATTCTTAGGGAAGAGAGCTTTGAACGAAAAGGTAATGGCATTTTCAAAAACTGTTTTCATGTGTTTGTCACTGTTTTTCAGGTCCTTGAAAACAATAGAAAGTAATATTGCAAGGTTGCAATATTGAACACATAAATGCATGGCTTTATTTATTTGTTTATTTTGTACCAATATTAGGGCATAAAGTCAGGACCTCAAGCTCTGGCTTAGCTTTTTCTCCTTGTGGCTGGTATTCTTTCACTTGAACCACTCCACTTTCTTTTTTTTTTTGGTCCAGTTGTGGGGCCTGAACTCTGGGCCTGGGCGCTGTCCCTCAGCTCTTCAGCTCAAGACTAGTGCTCTACCACTTGAGCCACAGCATCACTTCCGGCTTTTTTCTTTTTGCTTATGTGGTGCTGAGGAATCCAACCCAGGGCCTCAGACATGCAAGGCAAGCGCCCTACCACTGAGCCACCTTCCCAGCCCCTCCACTTTCTTTCTTTTCTTTTTTTTCTTTTTTTGTTAAATAGAGTCTGCTCTGGTTGGCTTCAAATCATGATCCTCAGATCTCAACTTTCTGAGTGTAACTGATTATAGTTGTATACTGGTGACAAATGGTTATCTTTAAAAATAAATGAGCTCATAGGGATTTTTGTTTGTGTGCTGGTGCTGGGTCTTGAACTTTATACTTTCGCTTAGCTTTTTCTGGTAATGTTTTGTGCTCTACTACTTCAGCCATGCCTCCACTTCTGCTTTTTACTGATTAATGGAGTTGAGTCTTTTTGTTTTTTCTGCCCAGGTTGGCTTCAGACCACAATCCTCAGGTCTCAGGCCCCTGAGTAGCTAGGATTACAGGCATGAGCCACTGGTGTCTGATTCAGTTCATACTTTTGTCCCTTCCAGACTGAAGTCCAGACTGTCCTTCCTTTGATATTTTAAGTCAAGTTATTTATATATTGTTATTATAAAGGTGATATATAGAGGGGTTATGGTTACATAAATCAGGTAAAGAGTACATTTCTTTACTGACAAAGCCACCCCTCTTTCTCTCCCAGTTTTTCCCTCTCATCCCACCATCTCACCCACAAAAGTTTTTATTTTAGACCTTTTCTTTCTTCAAAATTCTTTTTTTTTTTGCTAGTCCTGGAGCTTGAACTCTGGGCCTAGGCTCTGTCTCTGAGCTTCTTGTGCTCAAGCTAGCATTCGACCACTTAAGCGACAGTGCTACTTCTGGCTTTTACAGAGTAGTTTATTGGAGATGAGAGTCTCACGTACTTTTTTGCCTGGGCTGGCTTTGAACTGGGATCCTCAGATCTCAGCCTCCTGAGTAGCTAAGATTACGTAGGCGTAGCCACCAGTGCCCAGCTCCCTGAGTTCTTTTTGCTCAAGGCTATAGTGCTCCATAGTGCCACTATGGTTTTCTGGTGGCTAATTGGAGATAAGAGTCCCAGGATTTTCATGCTGGTCTGACTTTTAACCTCAGGCCTCCTGAGTAGGTAGGATTACAGGCATGAACACTAATGCCTGACTTTTCAAATCTTTTTATTAGCTGTTGATTGACTATAGTTTGTTTTTATCTGAACCAGTCTACTGAAGCTATTCCTTGAAAGGTGGTGCCTTTCATGCTTCATTCACTCAGTCTTTTGACAATTGTGGCCCTGTAAGTCCTTCCTTTTTCAAAACTTTCTTCTGTTTCCTTAAAACTGATCTGTCTGGATCATTTTGTGTTTGGATTTCAGTCTCTCCTTTTTCTCTAGCTGCTTTATTTTTCTCCTAGTTCTATGTTCTTCAGAGTTATCTTCCCAGTTGTTATTTTATCTTTTCTTTTGGCCAGTCTTAGGGCTTGGACTGAGGGCCCCAGCACTGTCCCTCGGCTTGTTGGCTCAAGGCTAGCACTATACCACTTGAGCCACAGCGCCACTTCTGGCTTTTTCTTCTGTTTATATGGTACTGAGGAATTGAACCCAGGGACTCATGCGTGCTAGGCAAGCACTCTACCACTAAGCCACCTTCCCAGTCCCCCAATTGTTACTTTTTCTGAGGTCAGTTTTTCTAGTCCATGGTTTGGGTTAATCTGTTTGTGACTAAAAAATTTACATCTACAGCTCTCCTTTGAGCTCATGTTCCATTCCTGTATTTGGAGCTATTAGTAAGACATCTTCATTTAAATATTTGGTGTGGTGATCACTGTGGCAAACGTGGACAGATGTTTCATGACGTTTCATGATTTGGCCATCTGACTTCTGTCACAAGTTAAGCCATTTTTCTTGTGTCCTTTTTTCTTCCTTTCCTCCCTCTCTTTACCTCTCTCTCCCTCTTTCTTTCCCTCCCTTCTTCCCTTCCTCCCTCTTTTCCTTCTCCTTCCCTCCCTCCCTTCTCTCTCTCCCTCTCTTCTCCCCTCCTCTCCCTTCCCTTCTCCTCCCCCCTCCCCTTCTTTCCTTTCTTGTGTGCCAGTTCTGGGCCTTGAACCTCAGGACCTGGATACTGTCCTTTAGCTTTTTCTTTTCTTTTCTTTTCTTTTTTTTTTCAGTTGTGGGGCCTGAACTCTGGCCTGGGCACTGTCCCTCAGCTCTTCAGCTCAAGACTAGCACTCCACCACTTGAGCCACAGCACCACTCCCGGCTCTTTCTGCTTATGTGGTGCTGAGGAATAGAACCTAGGGCCATGATCATGCATGCAAGGCAAGCACTCTACCACTGAGCCACCTTCCCAGCCCTCCCTTAGCTTTTTCAATCAATGCTAGTGCTCTACTACTTGAGCCATACCTTCACTTCTGGCTTTTTGGTGGTGAATTGGAGATTTGGTGATTGGAGCCCAGATTGGCTTTGAATTGATATCCTCAGATTTCTATTTCTTCAGTAACTAGGATTATATGCCTAACTCCTGTTATTTCCTGCCTTCCTGCCTTCCTTTTCTGTCTGTCCAGGGCTTGAACTGTGGGCTCTGGGCACCCTCCCTCAGCTCTTCAGCTCAAGGCCAGCGCTCTACCACTTGAGCCACAGCGCCACTTCCAGTTTTCTGGTGGTTAATTGGAGATAAGAGTCTGATGGACTTTCCTGCCAGAGATGGCTTTGAAGTGAGATCCTAAATCCTCAGATCTCAGCCTCCTGAGTAGCCAGGATTATAGGCGTGAGCCATTGGTGCCCAGCTTCCCTGTGGTTTTCTTGGAATTTTTCTTCCTGTTTTGCATAATTAAAGTCTTGCTGGTATACTCAAAAGTTTAGTCATACCATGTATTTTCATATTTTACTTTTTCTGAATGTGAATTGAGTGATTTGAATATTTGGTGCCAGTTCAGAGTTAGGATCTGTGAAGCTGTGAAGCTTTCATTGACAACTTTGCCCTGTAGTTGTCTCTGTCTTCATTGGACGTTTTTCACATTTGTGATTAATTGACACCAGATTGTTTTGATTTGTTTCTTATGTGTTGGCCTTATGCTGCAGCTAGCACATCCTTGAAGGCTAGATCATATCTGCTGGTTCTGACACATTGTACCCCGTCATACTGTTCAGTGTTTAATGACGTTCATCAAATTGAATGTAAATTATTGGAAGATCACACTGTGTTTAGACCACACAATGTATTTTTATATTTTACTTTTTCTGAATATGAATTTTGTGATTTGAAAGTTTGATGACAAGGCTGTTAATTTGGTCAAGGTGACAGTCAGATTGCGCATTGTGGTGCACACAGAAGGATGCTGTGATGGTAGATATACATGACAACCTAGCTCTTAGTTGGAGTGTAAGTTTTTTTTTTTTTGTCGGTTGTGGGACTTGAATTCAGGGCCTGGCCGCTGTCCTTGAGCCCATTTGTGTTCAATACTAGTGTTCTACCACTTAAACCAAACACTACTTCTGGTTTTTGAGTGGTTAATTGGCGATAAGAGTCTCATATGGACTTTTCTGATTTGGCTGACTTCAAACCATGATCCTCAGATCTCAGCCTCCTAAGTAGCTAGGATTATAGGCGTTAGCCACTGGCACATGGCAAATTATTTATATTTTTGTTTGTTTTTTTTGTCAGTCACAGGGCTTGAACTCAGGTCCTGGGTGCTGTCTCTGAGATTTTTTTTGCTCAAGGCTAGCACTGTACCACTTTGAGCCACAGCTCTACTTTGGGAGTTTAAGAATTTCTTTTTTTTTTTTGGTCCAGTTGTGGGGCCTGAACTCTGGGCCTGAGTGCTGTCCTTCAGCTCTTCAGCTCAAGGCTAGCACTCTACTACTTGAGCCACAGTGCCACTTCCGGCTTTTTTTTTCTTTTTGCTTATATGGTGCTGAGGAATCGAACCCAGGAGGGCCTCAGGCATGCAAGGCAAGCGCTCTACCACTGAGCCAACTTCCCAGCCCGAGTTTAACAATTTCTAACATTTTATTAACCTTGGCTGCAAATCCAAGTAATGGAGGCTTAAATAAAATGGAAGTTTATGTCTCTTTCACCTTTAAAGAAGCTTGGAGGTTGACAGTCTAGTGCAGCTAGGCAACTTCTCTTCCTGTCTTGCCCTTCTTAGCATAATGAAATGTCACCCTGTTCCAGAAAGGAACCCCTATTCTAGACTTTAAGAAAGAAGAATAGAGGTGGAAAAAGGAATGAATGCATCCTTTTCCCCTTACAGAGAGTTCACAGATGACCTATAAAATTTCTACTTACTGCAGTGGCCATAATTGGCCATTTGGCTGTACTTAATTATAAACTGCAAGGAAGGCTGGGAATTGCATTTTAGCTTGGCACCAGTATTTTCATTCAAAATTAGGGTTCTGCTTCTAAGAGAAGAAAGGAGATATGGTTAGAGTTGGTAGGCAGTTAGCTATTTTTGTCCCAAATTAGCACTTGTCCATCAAAAACTTTACGTGGAGCCGGGTGCTGGTGGCTCACACCTGTAATCCTAGCTACTCAGGAGGCTGAGATCTGAGGATCATGGTTGAAAGCCAGCCTGGGCAGGAAAGTCTGTGAGACTTTTTTTTTGGGTCCGGTCGTGGGGCCTGAACTCTGGGCCTGGGC